GCCGATAAAATCCATATTTGCTATATCTGGCTAAGGGAACCCTTAGATATATCATGTTTTAGATGAATCGCTGACTTTTTTTTCGCAAGTTATGAGAGATATAAATATCGAGAATTGTGACCTTTCGTACCAGAGGGGGAGAGCCGATATCTAGCCTTTTCACAGCAGATCTTGTGTTAATAAAAATATGAGAATGTGTAAAACTTAAATCGGATGCTTATTTCACATTGTATCATCAAAATGTTGGCCCATTTGAGGGAGAGATACCAGAATTATTGGGCCGATATGTTCCATCTTAACTTGTGTCAATAAAAATATGGGGATGTGTGAAAGAGAGTTGGATGCTTATTTCGCTTTCTCTGAGCGTTTTGTTTTTCAAATCTTGAACCCTATATGGGAGAGGTACCAGAAGGAATGATCCGATCTCTAACATCTTTATAAAAGATTTTTTGTTGATAGAAATATTGAGATGTACCAAGTATGAATGGAATCGAATGTTAATTTCACAACTCTTTGTGGGGAGCTATCAGAAGGAGTGGACCTATACATTTCATCTTCACACCAGATCATGGGTTAATAAATATATTGTGTTGTGTGTAATTGGAAGACAATCGGACTCTTAAATCACATTTTATAAGAGTTATAATTATTCCAAATTTTGACCCTTTGTGGGGGAGTTACTTGATGGAGTGAACCGATATTGTCCTTTTTCGCACCTGATTTAGCACTGACAAAATTATTAGAATCCCTAACTCTCGATCTAAGTTTGATAATAATATTACGATGTACCAAGTTTGAACCAAATCGGATACTCCCTTCGAGAATAATCGTGGGACCCAACCAGACAAACGGACGGACACCCCTAGATTGACCCCAAATGTCCTGCTGGTTCGAGTCACCGTGTCGGTGAAACAAAAATAAAGAGTTTGCCAACACACGTACAAGCTGATAAGCATGCTGTGCTTTACAATCAATCAGAAGATAACCTGCTCAACTCCCCCATTCGGTGTTCCAGAAACAGATATTCGTATTATCTGCCCATGTTAAATGCGGGATTAGGATGTTGTTTTGTAGGTCAAACGAACTTAATGAACACATTATTGGTTTTTTTTTTACTGGAATCTAGTAACCATTTTCAAACTGCCTCTTTTTATATTTTGTCAGGATATTTTTGACTCAGAGTATGTCAGAAATTTAAAGAATGTTATTTCTCCCAAGTCTGATTGATTTGTCTTTTCAATTTAATCATATTTCTGAAGGGATATTTAAATATAACCTTTTACATAGTCTGTAATAAAAGACCTCCAAGTTAGTTACAAACAATAACAAGAACTTGGTCTGATGCTATCATTTCTAAAACAGTCTCTTCGTTTCCACACGAACTACCAAACAATTTGGTTGGTTACTGGTGGCACGGCATTCAGCTATTGTTCGGAAACCTGGTCGTTGTCTTCAAGGGTTTAGTTATTCCATTGAGTTTGGCTGAAAAGCTGTGAAATTTTTGGCTCCATCTCTATCTGCATTCGCTATTGTCATATGTATTTTTTGTTGTATTTTTTCGAACATCCAAAAAAAAAAAACGGAACAGCACCACTGAGAAAACTCACAACAACAACAATAACTATTATATTCACCTTCACATTCTCATCCGCATTCATGGGCTTCTGCACATCCTTGCATGAGGAATGAATTCATGGCTGATGTTCGGGTTTTGCGGAGCATTTTTTTTGTTCGTTGGTTTGTCATTCGGTCTTGAAAAATTCACGTGATGCCTTGTAACATTTACGTGAGTTTCCATCGGTTTTGAGTGTTCTTTATTCGCTGGAGTCTATCTATAATTCTGGCATGTCACTCAAGCGTGGACAACTGCAGTGGATGTGAGTGCGTGTGTGTGTTTGCCATTGTCATACATGGACAAAGAACACAAGTCCATTATCGGTAATTTGCAGTCAGTCAGTCATTCAGACTAGCCTTTTCATGGCTAGAAGAGATATGTACGTGCTCCATTCACAGCCATTCGAAATGTGTTGTTGGTTTAGGTTTTGTTTTGACTAATAACGATTTATTGTAAATTTCCAAAAAGACCGCCCCATTCAAAGGACATTTTCAATCATTCTAATGGAGGGCATCTTTTAATGAAAACAATGCAAATGAAGGGCTTTTAATTATGATATTCGAAAAAAGAGAGGATTTCCCAAGAGCTACTCCCCCTCATGTGACCGCCAAAATAAGCTTTGATGTTTGGAATAATTTACACCTTTTTTGTTACGTCGAACGGCGAATGAAGTGCAAATTATTGTCGCCTCGTGTATGTGAACTTTTCCAGTTTTGAAACACGCTTGTAGTTCAACCCCTGTCGCTAACAAGCAGGCATGTCTTTTCGAGGAACTGTTTGGGTTTTGATTCAATTGTCATAATCCATGTGACTGGGCTACGACAACGCCAACAACGAGGGGTGTCTAGCTAAATGTTCACTATTTACATATGTAAGTGATGGTATTTATGTATATTACAATAATAAGTGTTTGTTTATGCAAGACACTGGGTCGGATGGCAGTGAAGTTGGCGTATGAGTAACTTTAGTAATTACACGCCCCATGGCTGGTGTGGTAAATTAACATTTTCACATTTTTAAAAACCAGTAAGGAAAAGTCGGGCGGGGCCGAAGTTGATTCTACATTTGATAATAAATATTAACTTCGTTGAGTAAATCAAGAGGGGCAAAGCGAAGAGAAGCTACCTCCATTATTTATGACGGCTGAGGTTGCAAAAACCATTCGAAACGCTGACAAAATCAAGGATTGGAACCTGGCGGAAATTTAGTGTCAATTTTGAAATACGTTTGATTTACGTTCCATGTGCCGTATGAGTCACAACACTAATAACTTATACAACCCATATGAGCTCGACTGAACTTTCAATCCACTGTGCTACAACCTAGGGCTTCCCTCCAAAAAATGCTCTCCAATTTGGATGGCTTAAGTTGTTTGTTTTTTAAGTGTCATCAGCCGTCATGCTTGTCATTCGCCCCAAATAACTGCCGTTATCCTTCTACAATATTATTATTATTATTTTGTGTGCCAGTTTATAAAATGCATTCATGTTGCTGTTGTTGTTGCTGCTGCTGTTGTCAGTTGCATGCAGCCGGTTGACTGGCTTTATTCTAGGTTTTTGTTTCGAAATGCATTTGGGGTTCGGTTAAGTTAGGTAAGTGAAATTGCATTTTTATATTCGCATGCAGTTGTTGGGTTCCAGCTAAAGCTCTCACGAGCACGGCTGGCTGCTTGTTGTTGGTGTTTAGTGTCCTAATAGGTTTTCGGCACGTACGTACCAACCAACCAACCAGCCAGCCAGAGGGAGAGTGTTGCCACTTCATAAAGTGAAAAACACGATTAGAAAAGTGAAAAGGTATTTTCAAAGTGACAAAAAAACTAGGATTTAAAATGGCACTGAAGAAAAAAAAAGAATGTCTATGAAGATGGTGGAGGGTTCCATAAAGATATTTTTAATATATTTTATTATATTAATACAAATATAAAAAAATTAGGGTTTCGATGTAAATGTAATTAATTTCATAAGTCATGTTGCTGGTTTGATATCATCATATTCCCTATATTCTCATAATATGGCAACCTTATTGTTTTTTGGGTTTTTCTAATAAGAGTTATGGATTGCATCGCTACACTTTTTCACCTATAAATGGGAATGTTCCATTACTCCATTCGAACCATAATAAAACGTTAAATTTTCCCACCATAAATCTGTAGGCTAGTGTTAATTTTATATGGAGGTTTTCAATATTTGCTGGGGAACTTGGTTTGTTTTTGTTGCATCACAAAACTGTTACTATTTCATGATGGAGGGATAAATACAACGGATTGAAATGATGTTGTCGTAGAGAGGGGAGAGAGAAAAAAATGCAACACAATGGCTGTAACAGTCGTTAGCCTCATCCGACCACAGCACCCAACAATAATAGCATCGGCAATGGTTAAAAGTTTGTGGTTTTCCGTTTCTCGTCTGGATTGGCTAAACGCGAATGGGGGGAGGGGAGGCGTTGGGGGTTCATGGGGCAATGCCTCACCACTAAAATGTGTTTTTTTGCCGTTGTTGTTGTTGGCGGTTACTTTGGTCTTCTAATTGATTTGTGAGCCATGCAGTGACGACAAGGATGCGATAGCAGAAAAAATTGTGGCTGTTATATTTCCTCAACAGAAGTCGAACATCCAACTCCATGTCCTGTCATGTTTGGGGAATCGTGAAACAGCAACATTTTTCCAACTAATAAACGACTTTTCCCCCAATGGCCGTTGGCAGATATGAATTACAAATTATTTATGTAATTGATTTAAATGTTAGTTTTAGAAGTTTTGAAAATAAATTTTAATTTTATGGCAAATTAGTTGGATATATTTTTAATAGTTGGGCGCCACATGTAATTATTTTGTATGTGTATAAGTAAATCTATTTTTTTTACTCTATCCCTCTAATTAATCTGTATTTGGAATTGACTAATAACTCTAACACGTGAAGGTTGACAAGTGATTTTTACCCAAATAAATGGTCCTTCGACTTGTCAGTAAGGAACACCGAGAAACAAATGCAATTAAGAAATAATTTCCATTTTTTCCACCTTGTAATGTTGATGCGCTGTTCATGGTGTCCGAACATGTCTACCTTGCAGCGTCATTATTCTTGTTCAAGTTTATGTTGGTTTCTTACTCTTTTACAAGAAATGCAGGGCGTCACTGAGGTTACACTGAGAGAAATGTTAAGGGAAGTTGCAAATTTAAAGAATATGAGTGGAGGGAGGGGATATAGAGAGAGAGGGGAAAGTCGTGAATTTACTGCAATGAAATTTTGGCTCTGGTGTACACATTTTTTTTTTAAATAACCCCATATAAAAATTTGGGATTTATACAATTTAACGTTTATTTTTTAAGTGTGTTGCACACACAGAGCAGTCCTTTTTCCGATTTTCTTTCCAGCGTATAACTTACCTATCCATTAGATTCGCATTACCAGCATGCGATGAACGCCAATAGTTGCCAGTGTCCTGGTGTGCCGTCGTCGATGCTGTTTGATGGCTGTGCACCGATATACGTCGTTTATCATTGTTGGAATAACTGTTGCCGCCACCGATGGCCCCTAGACTGCTGCTGCCCCCACCACCACTGCCCGCTATTGTGGTGTTGGTCATCATCACTTTAAAGTTGCTCGGCTTGCTGCGTAAGGATGACGAAGATGAATGACGCAAGATACCACTGCGGAAGCTGGTGCGACAGGTATTGGTTGTCGCTGTGCTGTTGCCCGGCGTTGTGCTCCCAACACCACTGCCACAATTGCTGCCATTATTACCATTCGAGAAATTCGTTGATGAATTGCTGCGATGAGCGGTGGATTGCTTTTCATAGTCGTGGCTGAAGTTGCGATTCGAATCACCGCTGGCTGTGGCACTGCCGCCGAAACAATATTTGCTAAAACTAGAATTGTTGCTGAAACTACTGTGCATTTGGATTTGCTGCTGTGAATGTTGGGGTCGTATTGTAAAACGACCGCCCAAGCTGTAAGTGAGAACGTAGCGAAAGAGAGAGAGAGAGGGAGAGAAATTATAAAACAATCAATTTAATTTCATCAGAGATTAGTTTTTATTCAATAACAAAATGAAATTTCCAAATCAAATGAAAGCCACACTGATAGTTGTTGCAACATCCGGCATCTCTAATGTCCTGCTCATCATCAGCATCAGTTCATTTTATTTCATCTTCTTGTCTCTCATCCCATGGATATGTTCCTGACAACTTCATATTAATTGAATCAATGATTTATTCAGCAAATGATAAACCGACGAGGAGAATAGATTTGTGATTACTCTCATTAACTGCACTTCATTTGGGTCAAATAGTTTTCAATTGGAAATTAGATATTGAATTATTAATTTGAAATTATTGCTAGAGGAAATAATTGGGAAATTGCAGGAGAAAAAAGGAATATTTGAAGTATAAGTGCTAGCAATACTCATACGCTCCGAAGGCCATTGCTAGAGGCAATAATGGGAATAATAATTGGAGGAGAAAATAGGCTTTCGAGGAAAATCCAAAAAAACTGACCTTTGACTTCGAATATATTTTTTTTGCACATATGAGATCTATGGGGTCTTATCAAACTTTATTTACACAAAATATCCTAGACTTCCATAAAAGTTTAGCTCTGTGGGAATCATTGCTATTTAACCACAAGTGTGAAGTGTACTTTCACTGGAGCGTATGAGTATTGTTAGTACTTATACGACAAATATAGGTAATGACAATACTCATACGCTCCATATACGACAAATATAAGTAATAACAACACTCATATGCCCCGTATTGAAGTCTAGGATAGTTGATTTCTAGGAAAGTTTGAAAATACCCCATAGATTTCATGTGTTCAAAAAAGTTATTCGAAGTCAAAGGTAGGTTTTTTTGGATGTAAAAAGGGGGTTTAACAAATGGAGTATATAAAAAATGAGACATCGTGATTCTTAAATCGCATATCAATGCATGCTAAAATTTCTAAGAAGGTCCTTCAATAAATTATAAAATATTTTGAAAACTCACTGGACCAGAATCGTAGATTAAAAAAAAAAAATGTATCAAAAAAAACTTCGGGCCAAGAATTATATTTTTTTTGGAACATGTATCACATTTATATATTTTTGGAAAATATTCGTGGATTTAAAATAACTTGAAAACGGGGTTTTCTCAAAATATTTAACAAAAAACTCCCGGTTACACTAATCGCAGATTTTTAAGACCGTTCTTGCATCCTGTACAACATATTGTTATAATCTAGTAAAAACGAGTAAAAAGATTTACATTTTACGTTAAAAAAAATCTTAAAAATACCGAATACATTGGGATGACATTATGTTGAGGTCTATACATAGACTTGGACCTGCATAGGCAATTTTTGTTCTGACCATTATCAGAATTGTGAAAAATTCGGTGAATAATGTTTCTGAATATCGTCACAATACTGAATATAGGGAGGTACCGATATATGGGGGCTATACGAAGACAGACAGGCTGTCATAGCCAGACAGACAGACAGGATGTCATAGAAATTTGAAACAATTCTGTTGAATAATGTTGCTAAAATCATAAAAACCCAAGTAAAAATATATGGGGGCTATACGAAGACAGACAGGCTGTTATAGCCAGACTGACAGACAGGATGTCATAGAAATTTGAAACAATTCTGTTAAATAATGTTGCTAAAATCATAAAAACCCAAGTAAAAATATATGGGGGCTATACGAAGACAGACAGGCTGTTATAGCCAGACTGACAGACAGGATGTCATAGAAATTTGAAACAATTCTGTTAAATAATGTTGCTAAAATCATAAAAACCCGAGTAAAGGGAGGTACCGTTATATGGGGGCCATACGAAGACCTAGGCCTGCATAGGCAATTTTCTGTCACATGCTGTAGTACCTATTAGGAACCTGTATATCCAATTTTTGTCATAGGCCATTACAATATTCAAATACGAAATTTAAAACAATTCCGGTAAATAATGTCGATAAAGTCATCAAAATACCGAATATAGGGAAAACAATTTCAATACCAAAAGTCCTGCAGAGAAAACATACATTTGAGTAAAATTGTATCAACCTTCTTTAATTCGTTCGGAAACTAGTGTGATTTACACAGACGGGCGGACATCGTTAAATCTGTCGATTTTTTTCTTCAAGGTTGTCTAGAATTTTATGCTGATCAAGAATATATATATGCTTTGTGGGGTCTAAAATGTGTCGAGGTGTTACAAACGGAATGACAAACTTAATATACCCTCCATACTATGGATGGTGGAGGGCATAAAAAGGTCCATGGATTATAATTTGTATTACAAAATATTCGAATTATTTCCATTCTACTGACCGTCTCCAGCCGAAAATCTGTATGATCTGATTCACCTATTGCTGTGACAATCAAAATTAAAATTATCTTAAAATTATAGTTGCGAAAACAAACACCATTTGCGAAAAACCCAAAATAAAATATCAAGGATTTGTCAGACTTACTTTCTTGCTTTAGTTTCCTTCAAGGTTGGCTCATGTCAATTGTGACACAATGAAACCAACAATTCCTACCATTTGTTCTTGACAATAAGGATAGTAAAAAAAAATACTCTTTACTCACACAGATACACTCACACACACACTGGCAAACACTTACTTTCCATTACCTTCCATCGAACAACTGGCCATAACACAATACACAAACAAAGAACACCGAAAAAAAAACTTACCGACGAAATAATTCGCTTTCCGGATGTTCGGCAGCAAATCGAGCCTTCTTTCGCAACAGGGGAATGGTCAGGGCGTACGTGATTACCATCATGACCATCGGTATGTAGAATGCCACCAGGGAGCCGAATACGAAGAATGCTCGATTGTTTATAACGCAGATATTCGGCTGTGGCATGATATTCTTTTCGTTGACTAGACCTATTGGCAAAAGAAGGGAAAACAAAAACGAACAGGAAGAGAGAGAGAGAAGAGAAGAAAAGAAAAGATTGCAACGTTAATTTATGGCAAGGCAAGCCATTCAATGTAAATTATTGGAGACAGCAGTGGCGGTGGCGGTGGCAGTGGTTGGATGCCAGGGAAGGGAATATCTTGCCGTGGTTTTATCAACATTCATTGTGGCCGGCACGGCATCCGTGAAGTGGATCAGATCAATGCCACAAAATAACTATTGTTCATTGTTGTAGTTGTTGTAGTTTTTTTCCTTTTGCACTCCATTGTTTGGTTTTACAATGGAGACATGAATATTTGCTCTATACTGGGTTGTTTCCTTTTTTTAGGTTCAGAGAACAAATAAAGCAATTACATGATGACGATTTTTGTTTTTCTTCTTTTTTTTAATAGTTTTCTTGGCGATAATTGGAAATTGTAATAAATAGTTCAAAATAAAATAAAGTGAAATAGTTGAAATAAAATAAACATTGTTAAACTCGCTCATAGATAACTGCTTTGCTCAGAAAGCATTCCGGTGAATAATGTCGCTAAAATCATCAAAATACCGAAGATATGGAGGTACGGTAATATGGGGCCTATACAAAGAACTGGATCTGCGTATGCAATTTTATTTCATAGGCTGTAGTACCCATTACAAATTTCGAATACGAAATTTAAAACAGATGCGGTGAATAATGTCGCTAAAATCATCAAAAAAAACCGAATATAGGGAGGTACCGATATTCAGGGGAAGACCTGGACTCTTCTTTCACTTTTTCACTCCACCCCAATATACACATTGCGCTTGTACTTTAAACTCCGCAAACTTACCCAACACTGTTATGGAACTGGAAACAAGCATGGCCATTAGCCAAACAATGGCAATTTTCATGCCGGCCAATCGCTTCGTTGAACGATGCCGCGAACCCAATGGATTCCGAATGCCCAGGTAACGGCCCAGAGAAATGAAGCACATGTGCAAGATGCTGGACGAACAGGCCATTACGTCGCATGTAACGTAAATGTTGCACCACGTAAAGCCCAATGGCCAATAGCCTGCAAAAAGAAAGAAAAAAGAGAGACGATATTGAATGAATGCATTGCTGGTCTAAAAAAAGAAAAGAATTGCATTTTTTTAAGACAAAAGAGAAATATTAAAAAAATTAAAATAAAGCCCTTTAAGAATAAAGAGAATAGCTCAATTAGGCTGCCCTTAATTAGTAACCTTTCAATGGCAATTTTTGTTTTTTTGTAACAATTTTCAATCCAATTTTTGTTTCCTTTGGAATGAGAGGTTTCTTTATTCAAAGTCTATGCCAAAGTCTGGTTTTGTTTTCTTGTCGGTCTCTATTTAAATACGTGCCCCAAAGCAGTTTGTAGTTTTGCCATTTTTCTGTGTGAGAATTATGCCTAATTGCCACAAGAGTATCCGGTAATTGTCTTTGAAGGACAAAGTATCTAATGAATTAATGTGTGAATGTCATGCAATTAATTGTTCTTACCCAGAGATAAAACAACAACAAGTTTCAAGAAGGAGCTTGCCCAACTTCCTTCAATTTTTACACATCCCCATATTTTTTCTATGTTACAGAATGTGTAACAATGAAGAAATATTTACCAAAATCATGTCTGGTGCAAAGATCGGATATGTACAGGGTGAGATAAAAAAAGTGCAACAAAGTCAAACGCCATAAGTTTTGGCATTTTTTTAATTTATTGAATACAAGTCAAAAATTTCCGAAATAGCATAAAATTTTAGAATAAGTTTAGATTTGTTCGAATTGGTCACCTTTGGCACGAATTATAGCCTTCAAACGGCCAATGAAACACGCTGCCCGAATTTTGCTCTGCGATATTTTGGTCCATTGCCACGGTCGATTAATACGAGTGGAGAGCGACCATCGGCTGTTATGGCGGCCCACACCATCACCATGGCCGGTGCCTGAGTTCTGGTGGCCAACCGAAGGTGCACATTTGTCGGCTGACCTCTTTGGCAATTGAACACGATCATTTTGTTTGTTTACAAACTGCCGGACAACGAATGTTTTCTCATCGGAGAAAACCAAATTCGGCAGTTCACCATTTTCGGCCAAGCGAAGCAACTCTCTAATTCTTTTGAGTCTATTTTTTTTTCTGTTGCGGCGTAAGTTCTTGCACTTTTTGGAATCTCAATGGCTTTATCCCGAGCTCATTTTTCAATACTTGCCGAATAGAATATTGCGATATGTTCAGCTCACGCGCCAGTTTCGGCCACTACGACGTGAATATATTAAAATTTCAGTATTTAAGATCTATTCTTTTACCAAATACCAAATTTCGTACCATTTAGTATTTTTCGTACAAATATAGGACGTATTTCCAAACTACCGTCAAAGCTCAAACGCAGATACCATGAGTAATAAATATCAAATTTCGGTATTTTACCTCTGCCCCTTCACCCAATACCAAATTTAGTAGCATTCAGTACTTTTAGTTAAATTATAGTACGCATTTCCGAAACCAACTCCATATGTCCAGGCGATACATGAACAGCGTCTGTCAAAGCAAATTTCAGATTTCAAGCAAATAATAAATTGTATCAAATATGGTACTATTTTGTACTTTTCGTGCATTTGTAGTATCCATTTGCAAAACCAATTCTTTATCACAAACCAACCACCAACAGGGACCCCAATACAAAATTTCAAAATTCCAGCTTCATTCTAAATCAAAATGTTTCAGATTTAGTACCATTTAGAATAATTCGCACCCTTGGTACACTTTTCTAAGGCCATCTTCTTGATATACGAAACTACTTTTCAACCTTGATTCTCATACCAAATTTAGTTTTAGCTCTATGTGTTACCATTTACAAAATGGTACCATTTTAGAAGTTTAGTATAATCTTAGAACTTTTCGTTGTCTTAAAGTTTGAATTTCCAAAAACCCCTCGGTAAATCTATATTGCACTCCATCAGTGACTCTCATTTCAAAAATTTAAAATTCTTGGTAATTCCGTTTGTCTAATACAGATTATTCGTTCCCTTTTAGTACGAATTTTCCAAAAAAAAAAAAACGGCCTTATCACACGCTTCCTCACCAAGACTTGCTCTCCAGCAGCCGTTTTGTCTGGTCGTTGATTTTAGATTAGCCACTCAGTCAGTCAGTTATTTCACTGCTCTTTCTTATATATATAGATAATCTGATTATATTTGGAGTAATGTAATTATCCAAAAAATAAACTAAAAAAACATAGCTTAATTTTTAAAAATTTCTCTGAAATACTTGATATGTTTTAAAATAATTTCTCAGCCAAACATTTTAATTGGCAATGCATGGAACATCCTCTGGTTTCCGTATAATTTTTGATATTCCACTTCTGTAATCGATACGATATCCCTTTCAATGATTCGAATTTATAATCCTTTATCCCGAAACATTTCAATTGAACTGAATTTGCTATGCAGCTGTTTTGGTGTCATTTCCTAGAATTGCTCAGAATCCAGTGAACGGTAAGCGCTTTTATACGAGTTTTAATCAACACTTTCGGTGTGCTTGTGTTCTTTTTTCCGATATGTTATTCGCATTCAATAGATATTTTTTTGTGAACCGAAACAGAAAACAAAAGATTCAATTTATTTAAATTGGCTTTTGGCCAAACAAAAAAAGAGAAAAAATGGAAGCGGCAACAAGAAATTTGGAAAAGTAAAATTCCCCCACATCTTGTAATGCCGCTATTTCAATTTATTGCAGACAGACTTCAGGATCCACGCCACAGCCACCCTTTTTTTGCCTTTGTTCTTAGGAAAACATCAGCCCTTGTGTAATAACATTTAGTCTACACACAGGATTCCATATAAACATGTCCACACACACATATGTAGTGGAAATATGGAAGTATATTTCAATTTGAGCCCAGGCCCATAAATTCCACTGCAGATACTGGGCGAATGATTGGAGCAGCTGTTCGCCGGAGATTTGGTTTTAAGTAAACTTCGAATTTATCTTCGAGGGAAAAAAAGAATATTAGATGTTTGAATATTTTTGCAATGTAAACAATAAATCTCTAATAGAAGTACAGACATATGTATGTACACACAGACGCACACACACATTTCGGCTGGATTGGCTGGAGTTCTGGATTATTTATGATTTACAATATTAAATGTGTGGTTAAGTGCGAGGGATTTAGAGATTAAAGGAAATTTCTTTCTTAAAAATATTCCATGCAATCACCCATATATTCACATGTGAACATCTCAAAGGGACTCCAGAAAAGATATTGAATTGAATATTCAAATGTTGTTTTTTTTGTTCTTAAACATTATGACAAATTTAATATTGACTGCATCCTGCAGTGCTCTGTCGTTGGTAAACAAATTGACATTTCTTTTGAATATTTCTTCGATTCAATTTGGTTTATTCAGTTTTGCTCAATGCTATCTGAAACTAGACAAACAGACACACAGGCATACACACACACACACACTCTCATCCATCCATGCAAATCACAGAATACGAACCGAGACTTGGCAATGGAATGAGAGTAGTAAGTAAATGGTGATGCCCCAGTGGCAGCAACAATCGGCAACATATGGGAATCTAGTTGCAACATTAGTTCGGTATTATTATTATTGTGGACCCATCCAGTCATCCAGATGCTTGTTCGTGTGTGTGTGCGAATTGAATAGTTGAATTTGGCATAGTTCTCCTTTTTTATGATTGGAATTTGCCATTGAATTGAATTGATTTGCTTTTCAAACTGCCATTCGGACAATAAGCAGAGCAGAAAAACTACTTCAGAGCAACAATTTTGGGTTCACTTTTGAAGAAATGCTGCTATTTTTGTAAGCTCTCCTCAAATGTGACAGACCAGAAGAGGGAATAGAATTTGGAGCATAATCATGAGACCATTTGGGTTAAATAACCCTGTCTTTATTTCAACCTCCCACCATAAGATGAAGGATGTTGCTTGTTATGTTATTCAATTTGAAAATTCCAAAAATATTTTGTGCTATAATTTCTGATCAGGATAGATTTCTTGAAATTTTGCATAAACTTTTGGAAGACGCCAAATAAATCCGATTCGATTTAGTTTAATATGGGGCTACTGTAAAAAAATATAAAGGCTATATGAAAACTATACGAAAAACAACCGATGGTCACTCTCCGCTCGTATTAATTGACCGTGGCATCAGAATAAATGCCGAATATTATCGCGAAAATATTCTGGAGGGTGTATTAAAGCCTTGGGCACGCCTACATTTTGGCCGCAGACCTTGGACATTCCAACAGGTCTCAGCATCATCGCATTCAGCACGCGCCACCCAAGAATAGTTACGAATGAGGTTCCTCGCTTCATTTCCAGCGCGCAATGGCTACTAATATCTATAGATACCAATCCGTTGGACTATTGTGTCTGGAGTATTTTGGAAAGCAAGGTTGGCATTAAAAAATACAAAAATGTCGATCACCTCAAGCAAGCGCTTCGCCGGGAATGGACCAAAACACCGCAGAGCAACATTTGGGCATCGTGTGACGGTTTCATTTGCCCTTAGAAGGCCATAATTCGTACTAAAGGTGACCAATTCAAACAAATCTAAACTTATTCTAAAATTTGATGCTATTTCCGAAATTTTTTATTTCAAGGAGTTACAAACGGAATAACAAATGAAATTTAACTTTCATATTCCATAAAAATGGGATAAACGGGTCCCGCCTTTGCATCCTGGAACAAAGCACTATTATGCCTCAATATTTGTTTTTTTTTCGTTTTGTTAGAAACTCAAAATTTTAACTTTCGCTGATCTGAGGAAATCTAATTTTTGGGTCTCAAGTTACTTGAACACCTGACGCCTTATAATGAAGACAGTGTTGTACAACAGCAAAGTTGTAAAAAGTTTGGTCTGGGTGAACTTAAGGTGCGATACATAAAATGATTTTCTTTCTGGCATTAGTTATCGATTGACTGCTTTGTAAAAGAAGAAATGATTTTAGGTGGACATAGTTTCTACAATTTCGGTCCAGTATTTAAACTTAGTTGACATAAAGTTCTCTGACTCTTTAACAAAAAGAGC